CTATGCGAACACGAGGGATTGGATGCGAACACGAAGAAGGGGAAAGGCAAACCTTCGCGAACGCGAGAGGTTAACTGCGAACGTGGAGGAGCAGACACGAACGCGAAGAGGAAACCAGCTGACAGATATCAGCAGTTCAAAATAGAAGCAAAAAGACTCGTAGCCCACCCGGAGCCGAGGCCCCCGGAATCCCGTCCAAACACACAAACAAGTCATATAACGTAACACGGACTCGCTCGAGGTCTCAAATCACATCAAACAACGTCGAAACAACGAATCACACCAAGAATCGAACTTAGAAACTTTCAAACCTTCCAACTTCCAAAACTCGTGCCGAAACCTATCAAATCAACCCGAATGATGCCAAATTTTGCAGACAAATACAAGATGACCTAACGGAGCTGTTCCAACTCTCGAAATCGCATTCCAACCCCGTTATCACAAAAGTCAACTATGAGTCAAACCTCTCCATTTTTCAAACTTCAACTTTTCCAACTTTCGCCGAAACACCTCAAATTACCCTACGGACCTCCAAATTCGAATCCGGACACACGCTTAAGTCCAAAATCACCATACGAAGTTGTTGAGATCACCCACGACCCATTTCGGGGCCGTTTACTCAAAAGTCCAATTCCGGTCAAATTCTCACCATTTAAACTTCCAAAACTAGTTTCCTTCTTCCAATTTGATTCTGAATCATTCGTTAACTGAATTCAACCACGCACAGAAGTCTATACACATATTATGAAGCTGCTCGAGACCTCAAACTACCGAATCGGGCGAATGTGTTCAAAACGACCAATCGGATCGTTACAATGTTTAGCTAGATATTTAGGGGGGGAGGGGGGGTCAAACATATTCCTTATACCTTCTTTTGGAAATTAAACCATGACTGATCTTTCTATTTACATAATAGATTAAATTTAATTCTATTATCTTCCAATTGGCCATAATTTCATTATTTGGTTTGTCCTCAAACTTACCATGGATATACACCTAATTGGTTTTTCCTCAAATTTACCATATGGATGTACACCTTAACTTTTTTTTGTGTGTATAAACAATAAAAATACCAATTATTTTATACCAAATGAGAATAAGGTCATTTTATTTATTTATTTTTAATTATTTTTATATTAAGGAAGACTAAAGAATAAAGATTAAAGCATATATAGCAACTCTCCTTTGTTAATAGGATTATTATTCTAAATCTCTTTTTTCTAAATTCCATTTTTACACATTAATTGTTGGAGGTAAATACTCTTAACTCAAAGTTCAAAGGTCTGTCTAGACGTCTAGTAATTTCAATTCCTCTATGATTTTTTTCTTGGGTAACAATTCAAAACAGCGGAGCTATCTGCATCGAGTGTTTCAATTGAAAGAGGAAAGGAGACAACTCAAATGCTAGTTTCCGGGCAGGGAAGAGAGCGAAAATGGACCACAGATGGTAGTCGTGGTTGATTTGAAGATCTTACGCGGCGGAGTGAACTCTTCTATCGTGTTACATTTTCTTTGGCGAACACCCCCACCCCCGGCCAGTGATTATGAACTCAAATAAAAAAAAAAATTGGAGTAGCGTTGACAAAGAAGAAGGAGCAGGTTAAAAGAAAGTAAATCTTTCCATTTTTCTTATAATTATATAATAATATAAATAGAAAGTAATTTCTTATTATTATATATATGTCAGCTTGACAAGCAACCCTTCCTCTTGATATGAGGTGTGAAGAGAAAGATTTCTTTTTTATGACTTGGCTTCTTCAACTAAGATAAACATCACATATTAAAGCAATTGAGATAGTACAAGTATAATACTTATCTACCCACGTAAATTCTACCAAAGAAAATAAATTAGACATGACAAAGGCCAATGTCTTAAACTTGAGACAACAGTTTAACATTTGTAGGATAGACTTCAGCTTTGAGATTGGAAGCAAAAGCCTTATTAGCAAGCACAATGTTTACTGCTTCAGTTGGATGCAAGCCATCAAAATAAACATATGCATTCCTCTTTGAACAAATATTTCCTCCCATTTTGCATAAAGTTCCAGTTCCACCCACTTCGCAACAAGGGTTCTTGGTATCACCAAAACCTACGTATAAAAATTAAATAAAAATTATGTCAATTTTTTTTTTTTATGATCATGGTGTCCAAGTCAGTTTGCATATTTCAACTAGTTCCACGGTATATCTGTTATCTTCAACTAATACAAGTATTGGGTAACTTTATCCAATAATGTTTGGACAAATTAAAAGAAATCACTTAATATGCTTACCTCTCTGATTTATATTTGAAATGTAATTTAATTTATAGAAAGTGGGGGTCAAAATGTCTTACAAATCTTTACAAGTCTTTCATTTTGTAGAATATTTAATGGTAATGTTTTGACTCTACTATTTGTATAAATGCAAAAAAAAAAATATATATATATACTATTAACTACCTGTATCATAAAAAAATTTAAATGTTTGTTTCTTTTTACTTTTTTTTTTTTTTTTTTTTTTGTCCTTAATATTTACACAGTATTTATGAAGTTAAGGACNTCTATGCTCATAGGCATTTTAAAGCTAAAAAGTTGTAATCTAGAAAACAAAGAGAGAAAGGGAGTGAAAATGAATGCTGACCTTTAGGAGTAGGATTTTGTAAGATATCCATAATGACCTTGTAAGCATTGACAAAGACAAGTGTAGAACCAGGCATTTGAAGCCTTATGGAATCAACCAAACTCCTCAAGTTAGCATTGAAGAGAAGTGCAGCTCTATTCAGACTTTCTATGCAACCAGTGGTCATGGGATTTCTAGCCCTAGCCATTGGGCTGCACCCATTGGGATATAATGCCATGAGCACAAATTTCCTAGCTCCCATATTATACAACCTCTGCAAAAAAATATGAAAATAATACTTATAATGTCACGAAGAGGTACCTTGGAGCAACGGTAAAGTTATTTTCATGTGATCTATAGGTTAGGGTCGTATGTAGTGTGATAAGAACAGGTTTAATTGTTCGCATAACTTTCTACGCGGAATAAAAATTTATATGTAAAAATTCATTAAAATTGCAAAAATAGTATATATGAACTCATAACTTTAAAAGTATAGTGGATTCAATGCTTAAAAACTTAAAAGTTGAACCCATAGAGTTCAAATCTAGATCCGCCTCTGCTATAGGTCACAGGTTCGAGTCGTGAAAGCAGCCACTAATACTTGCACTAGCGTAGATTGTTTACATCACATATTTAATGTTGCGACCCTTCCCCAGACCTTGCATAAATATGGAATGTTTTGCACACCGGTGTACTCTTTTTTACTTATTCATTGGCTCCAGTCACAATAATTTTAATTCAAGATCCACCAAGTTTTAGTCCAGATTAGTGGGAACCCTAATGCGTGCATGGAATATCGGGTGAGAAATAATAATTTGAAAAAAAAGCTACCCAGGGGTAGTCAAACAAGCATTGAACATGAAAGAGATAAAAATGACAAAAATATGCATGAAAGCATACTTTAAATGCATACATACCTTGAGTTGGTGAGAGAGTGTAGTGGTCAAATTTGCAGTGAAATCTTGAAGACTGACATTGTTGTTGGTTAAGCCCAGGAAGTAGTTGAGTGAGTAGTCATTTCCTCCACTTCCCACCACAAACAAGTAATCCTTCAGTGATTCATTGCTTTTGCAACCTAGCTGCTCCTCCAACTCTGCCAATGTCACATTCTCAAAGTTCCTTATTTGTTTATTTAAACTAATCACCTCCCCCTGAAAAATTAATTTTAGAAAAAAAAATATTATTAGTTTTGTCTCATTTTACATGATACTATTAGTTCTATGTTCTATCATTTAAAGAGTCAGATTATTCTTTTATTACGACCTATAAAATAATTTCAAAATAACTTTTTAATCATTGAAACTCCTAACATTTGTTGCCTTCTCTTATGAACTCATTAAAGCCAAAAAGGAATATTCATTTTTGGTGAGGCAAACCTCTCGCAATCACATTCTTGCCCAATTATATAGTAGCCTAAGAATTTGGTAACATTTAAGAAAAAATGTGATTGTGAGAGGTCAGGATTTTGGTAACATATCAGGATATTACTAACTGAAATGGAGAAAGAGAGTAAAGGGCACAGTATCAGATTAAGGGACCATATATAGCAGATGAAAGTTTCAAATTCAGGGGCTATATCCCTTTAATTTTTTTTATAATATAATCACATTTATGCTCTAACATTTCATGAAAATTCTTTTATTGTGTCAGTTTCAGTTGCTATGTGTAGGGTTCCAAACCCTATCTACTAATAGAAACAAAAGAGAAAGTCAAACCTTACTCTTAACAAGTTGCTTGCTTTTTGTCAACCATTCTGCATCGGTGAATATAAAAAACAAATTGAGATAGATTATTAATGATGGAAGTAGGTTTAGGACATAGTATGTTTGGCAGGGGTGGATCCAGGATTCGGCGGTCATGGGCACCATAATATTCAATATGAATTTATCACTGTTCATTTGGTACGGGGACCTACGCTAATATCTAAGTATACTAAAGTTTTTGTCGAAGTTTTCGGGTGTGGATGACCCCTTTGCCTATGATGTTTGGTATGTTATTTTTTACACGTCAACTGTTGTTTTTCTCTTAATATACTACTCCATCTCCTATTAATAATATTATCTATCTTTTAAAGTGTTCGTACACCCCTTTAAAAAGACTTTTAATAATCTCTAATCATAAGTACTTGTTTAAATACTATACCAGTTATCTCACTCTTATATATTTTATTTAATTAATACTTCACTAATTATTGGAACACTAAGGGTAAATTTGATAAGGAAAAACAAATTTTGTGTCTCTAAATTAAACCATCAAATATTTTGAAAAGAATTTGCAAAAACAATTCATATCTGAGACCGTAGGAAGTATTATTTTGATGAACTAATGTGATGTTTATGCAATAAAGATGCAATTAATAAGGTGAAGGCGTGTTAACTATAAGTTGAAACCAGCTTGGCTCTACCATATGTCATAATCTCGAATCGTCTAAGGATTTTTTTTCTTTCTTTTGAAAAATTCTCAGGGAAACCCGTAGTAGCCCTTATTCTTCGTGTGTGTACTGGATAACCAGCTCACTATGTAATAAGTCGCAAACTACATAAAAGATATAAATCGTACTAGGCAAGTTCGACGCGACAAGCTTTGACTGCGGAGGCTGTTGGTGAGGGGAATCAATCTTAACTCTCCTATGTGGGAAACCATTCACCCAACTAACTCATTCAATCCTTGCGAGCAAATCGTATAAGGGTGATATATAATTACCTTTCTCTAATTATTTCTTGAAAACAAGAAACAAGAAATTAAAAGAAAATTGAACTACTTACAGCAACAGCACCAGTATTATCAAGAATGCCAGAACCTCCAGAAGCAAAGTTGACACCATTAACAATCTTACTTCCTTTAGTTTCAGGATCATTGAAATTTGGAATATAAACAGGAAGCTTTAGATGTTCTCCAATAATGTCAATTACATTTTTGCCATTTGTGAATCTTCCAGAAGGCCCTAATAAAGGAAAATCAACTCCATATGGCAAGTAATTTGCCTTAGCCAATGAGTTTACAAGAAAATTGTTATTCCCATTATCAACTAAAGAGCTTCCAAATACAAACATTCCTTGAACTTTAGTACACTCATTTGCTGTAAATTTGCACTCACCCCTGCATGGAGAAAGAAAAGCAAAGAAAAACAAGCTTAAGATAAGAAGAAGAAGAAGAAATGGAGTCTTTGTCTCTACAGCCATGTTGCTAATTTTTTATTTTTTATTTTGCTAAGTGTAATTGGTGTTGTTGTAATGAGTCTAAGGTAGAGTACCTTGTCTTCTTATATAGAAGTTATTTAATGCTGTTGAATGTCAACAAAGAAAAGAAAAAAAGAATTGATGAAAAGAAGGTGCATTGCAGTAATTAGGAAAATGACACTATATAGTCGCTCTCAAAATAATAATCGAAAAATATATATTTTTTGTATATATGTATATTCTGTATATTATATACAAAAATTATAAAAAATTTATATACTTTTTCGGCTACGGAATATAATAGTTTCTAGCGCGAGCTAAAAGTGATAATACCCGCTAAAAAATAGGATGAACAAGAAAATTTGACTAGTTCTGCTTTGGATAGGTACGAAATAAATACAACTATCATATACTAATATGTTATTAAAAACGTTTAGAAGTGTAGGATGACTCTCATGTTACAAATTATTTATTAGAACAAGACAGAAAAAACATCAAATTATTTTAAGATAGGTATTACCTTTTTGAAAATTGTATATGGTATAATTTTCAGTCAATTGTGTTACGGCAGCGAGCTAATCAGGCTTGTTTTGTCCAAAAAAATCTCTATTCTCCTCTTTAGTAAATAGACAACAAGCATTCCAGTCCATAATTTGGGCAAAAATCACTTAGCGTGCGGCCAAAATTATTTACATCCGATAGTCGCAAAAGTGTATAAAAATTATATTTTTTTTTTGTTTGTATATAACATGCAGAAATATATATACATATACAAAAAATTACTTTTTTCGACTATTATTTTAAGAGCAACTATATAGTATCATTTTCCAGTTTTTCCTATATTTTTTAAATTCAAGTTCAATGGTTTCTTTGTCATTCGTTGACAAAGCTAGTATGGGTTTCTCGTCCTCCTCATCAATAATAGTCATTTTAAAAAGAAAGTATTGACTTATTCTAGAACGGTGGATAAACAGTTGAGCAATTGTTTGTTACATGGAACTTAGTGCGATATTTCTAGATTATCATGGGTCTATTGAAATTAATACTAGAACTTGATTGGCTGCTCAAAAGTTTGTTTGAATTTTTTCAATAAAATTTAATGAGAAAACCTCTTGGATGAAATAAACTATAGTATTATTGGAAATATTAGTGACAGAATGGCAATAATAAATTTGTGGTACGCAATTGACCAATATATGTCAACTTGCACCTCTCTAGGAAAAAAGTATAACAGTTCAATAGCATTTATTGTAACAAAATTAGGATATTGAAAATCAGAGGGGGTAGTAGGAGTATTGGAAACGTTCATGGCCATCTCCTCAAAATATTATTAAAAAGATATATTAAAAATGCGCTAAGGTAAAACGTCAACTCGTAACAAATTAATTAATACAATTTTTAGACAATTTAAAATAAAAAATAAGACATAAGATTTTAATACGTATATAGTATTTGTTTGTATAAAAATAACACACGGCATGAGTGAGCTGTATTATATTTTTTAGTAGTCTCTTAAAGTGGTATTACTATCATAATTATTACGTTTCAATCCCGAACAAGTGGCACTGATAAGATATTTCAAATTACAAATTCGTATTAAAAGATATAGTAACTTTTTCATATTAAGCCAAGTTCTTTACGTATTGGTATTAAAAGAAATTGTACGCAAGTTATTTGTAAATTGTATGTTTTGACCTAATTTGTATATATTTTGTAAAAAAATAGCTACTTTTTAATAATACAAAAAACTAGTTAAAGCGAGTAAATGTTACTCTATCATACCTAGAGGAAAAAATCCCTTATTTTTACTAGTCGCCTTCCGATAGCAACTAATAATACTATCAGAGTAATATTAATATTCTGATATTTGGGTCCCTTTTGGGTCTGGGTAGGACATTAATGTCAGCATATAAATTTACCAAAAAAAGGCCCCATATTTATTGCAGATATAAGAAGTAATTAAGAGGCATTTTTAAGAGAAGATACAAGACAATGAAAATGACAGTGGAGTAGTAGTTTACTACAAAAATCATTTAATATTATGCTACATTTTTTATGTTTGCATCTTCGTTAGGTACCAAATTTAAAGCCAACGAATTTGCAATAAGTTGTTATTTGATAACACATATACACACAAACACGTTTTATATAAAAATAATGGTTTGTAAAACTCTTCACAAAATGATTTTTTTTTTAATATCATCCATTCACGGAGTTCTTGGAAATGACTCTAAAATAATGGGAGACTCGTGAAAATTGAAAATATGACTTCTTCTTTTCACTTTGTAAATGCGTTTGTAGACTAAAACAACTTCAAAACAAATCTTCTGACCAAAAATAACAGTTAATCTGATCCGAAAGATCTGTTACATAATTTTCTTTTTAACAATTCGTCAACTATAATTCAAGTTCTCGCTGTACAAAGCGCTTTCTGCCAAAAGAATTTCATTTCCAGACTCAAAACCCGAGACCTCTAGTAAAGGATAGAGGGATCCAAACTATTCGACGACACCCTCGAGGGTAAGCCCAGTTGAGCAATAGCACCACACTGAATTACTCTTACAAAGATGACACTCGCCTCATCAATTCTAATGAGAGCTACAGTAACAAAACAGGTATATTCTCTCTAGCCATTGATTTATTTTATCCTCTCCTTTTTTGCTTCATTTATTACATTCTTCTGTTGATTCTCTCGTATTGGTTGTTTGATCTTTGCTGATTCCACCATGCCAAATATAACAGTCACATACACCAAAAAGAAAACTCAAAACCATGAACTCGACAATGGATTAATAGGAATATTGTCTTACAGCCAAAAAATATAAACCATAAAGCAGCTTCAGCTGCTATCTTTTTTCCCTTTGATTGCTAATAATACTCGAGCTACTAAAGGGCTTTATATAATGAGTCATAGACATGACAAAAACTTTGGTATATACTGCAAACTAGAAAGAACCTAAAGAATAAAACCATCCTCATGAATTTGCTAAAAATAATCGCAGAAATAAGAGGGGGATATATATCTAGGGGCTCAGGCGACAAACAACTATGTACAGAAATTAATGATTGGAACCACTTAAAAAGGAAGAGAAGTCAGGTGGTAAAACCATTTTGTTTCTCTTGGGCAGTAGAATTAGCATCAGATGATGCATGTTCTTCATGTTCGCCTTCTCCAGTCGATTTAGGTTGATCAGAATCACCATCAGACTCCGCCTGTGGTGAAGCAATACCACTTATTGTGCCATAAGGTTTACAAGGATTTGAAGATTTTTGGGAGCACCAATGGTCTGGAACACTTAAGAAATGTGTGTCGATGAACTTCCTAAATCTCTTATAGTACTCTTTTGGCGAGACGATAGTAGGAAGCTGATTCTTGGGAACCACGAGCGAAGATTTGACCCAATTCTCAAGCTGCTTGTCCCATGTATATTGCCTGAGATAGTCGATGATGCCACAAACAAGTTCACAGCGTTGACTATCCACTCCCACAAGTAGAGAGTAGTCCATCACATTGATTGACTGCAAATCAACAAATAGTAGCTGTTTAGAGGGTAATCTATTAACTTCAGGGGTTGCATGATTATAATAAGAGGAGTTTAGATGCTAATCGATTAACTTCGGAGATTGCATGATTATAAGAAGCAGAAGTGACTTTTCTTTGGATGCTTTAAGTTTTGTGGATATTAATAGGTTAGCAGTTTGACCTCCAACTTACCCTGAGGAAAGTACAGTCATTCCATACAGCCCGTTGTAAATCCCTCTTTGATCTCGTACCAACATATAAAGGAGAAACATTCATGTCGTTAACAAAGTTTTGGTCCAGAAGAACGTCCCCTGCACCATTTCCAGCTGAACTAAATCGAGCATGCAAAGCGCCTTTCAGATCATATTGCCGAGTAGTACTTCTATTAAATGAAAGGTTCTCCATCACCATGAGATCGTGCCTTGTCTCTTTGCCACCTCTTGGCCTTACATTGACCTGCAAAACATAAATAAAGAGTGTCAAAGAAGGAAGTGTCTACTGTGCTAACAGTCGGAAAAGTGAAGTGACTACAACCGATTAATTAACCTGATAAATGCCAAGAATTTTTGCAAGGCAGGTTTGATTCCTCTTCTCATGGCACTGATCCATGTACTCAAAATATTGAGTAGCAAACTTCAAGAATGAGTCAAATTCTGCTCTTTTAATTTCCTTGATGATAAACCGATCGTCAACTGTTTTGGCAAACAAAGATTTACTTTTCCCACCTTTTGCATCCCAGCTCCTACACCTACTTAAGGAAGCAATATAATCAACTTCTGAAGTGCACCATCGATCTCGTAAACGACGAAATTGGCTGGCATAGAGACAGAGGACTGAGTATTTGTACTTTCCAGTTAATTTACCCAAACCCATGGAGACTTCCGGGTGAACCGTGAAAGAAACCGATGAATTTAACAAATCTAAACCCCCATCTAAACTTGTTGTGCGTGTTTCCTCTGAAATGTTTGAAGAGTGAAACCGTGTTAGATCCAATGAACCAGTTGAAGACAAATGTGGAGAAGCTACAGAGAATATCCGCATTACGCCTTGTGAACTCTCATACGCCTTAGCATCAGTTCCTCTATCTTTTCTGCCATCGCCTCCAAGATCTTCACTTTCAATGGGCAAATCCTTCAGCAAGGCCAAAGCACAAGCAATTATGCTGGAAAATTCATCTTCATAATCAGACACAATGAACTTATCACTTCCAAGGGGAATGTGCAGCTTTGCACCCTCATTCGTAATAAGTTTATAAGTGGTAGATTCTACATCATGGTTTGTGATAGAACCTAATTTCGGCAGGTGACCTCTCTGGAGATCCTCCAGGTATTGGCGCCAAATTTCAGAGAATGGAGTCCACCACCCTTCATCATTCTCTGTGTTGGAAAATATTGAGGACAGGGATCTACTCTGGGAATGGATAAAATCATGGGCACCTCCAGCATCAGCATCAACGATGATTCGTTTGTCCGTCTCCAATTGAATGGATGAAGGAAGATTGAGCTGTAAGTTACTTTCATTA